TTGTGGGGGTTCAGTCCCCGAGCCCATTATGTGCCTCTGTAACCCTTTCCACTACCGCCCACAAGATGGGTATGGGGTGCATAATAAATGAACTAAACTAAAACTTAAGTTTAATTGTGAAGGGGGTCAATGTTCTGATGGCATCTTGGGTGTGCAGCCTCACACTCTGGTCTCCATTACACTAACTTTACTTAATAGTTTACAAATAAAAGATATAATTTTGTCTGAAAGGAATATCCGGTACGAGAAAAGCTATTTTCACTTTTGCAGGAACACGCACATTCTCTGGTAACTTAAACTTTGCTAGAAATATCAACTTTATTGTTAGGTAATAAACTAAAGTGATGTATTTAACAATGTAGCAGGGCAACAGGGAAGAATACAACAACTAGCCAGCAGAGAAAGCAGAAAGAGGCCCCCACCTGGACATTTGGAACTATCAATCACTTACAAGGTTTTTTTTTTTTTTTTTTTTTTTTTTTTTTTTAAGAGTTGTGAAATCGGATCTTTGTTTCATGAACAGTGTCTTCAAGTGATATTGTTCTTTATTATGCACCCCATACCCATCCCGTGGGCGGGGGTGTAAAGGATTACAGAGGCACATAATCGGTTCAGGAACTGAACCCTCTAGTTCGTTTAGCTAAGCAAATAATCTTTTGACGCTAGTTACAACATTATTAATGTTATTATATACATGTACACACACTCATGCATACATATACATACGTATATATACATATTTAATCACCCACACAAATACACACATCAACAATCCTCTGTGTCACAAGTGATCAACAAGAGGCTCACAACAGTCACTATACAAGGCACTTTACATCTATAGTGAGTCACACAGTTACTAGTCTTGCTGCACACCCACCCAACTGGGCGGCAGCTTTACAGTCATGTGCATGCATTACCTACAATAAGCAAGTTTTGGATACTTCGCTAAGATTTCGGGCAGCACATCATTATGAATGAAGTACTTACATATTTCTTGGACACTATTGATGGTGTTCTCTAAATTCCGCGATTTTTTCACATTCCATTATATAATGACGCAAAGCATGTGAATAGTTCTGCTGACAGTTTACATTTAGTCAAATCTACATCAGCAGATGTTACAAATTGCCAGAGGTACTTGTAGCCGAGCTTAAGCCTAGCAGTGGTAACATCTAGAAGTCTGCTAACATTATTGGATGACCCATAGACGTGCAGTACTTCCTGTATAATAGAATGATGTCAAGTGATACTGATCCAGCTTAGCCTATAACTACGTTAGAGCAAGATGCCGAGGCTGTTCAAATTTACACAACTTCAGACTAATGTTACCCGTCTTTTAAATTGCAATCATTATTAAAAAATACCGGGAGCTGTTAACAGCTCCAACAAAATACCGAGAGCTGCGAATAACTACCGGGAGCTGTGAACAACTAGAACTACCGGGAGCCGTGAACAACTAGAACAAAATACCAGGAGCTATAAACAAAATACCGGAGCCGTGAACAAATACCGGGAGCTGTGAACAACCAAAAAATACCAGGAGTTGTGAACATAAGGAGCAGTGGCGCGGGAAGATTAACGTGACGGTGGTAGAGAGTATTGACCAAGGTGAACAAGTGCGCCCTCACCACCTCCCCCCACTGACCTCCCATACAGGTCCCACACTTCCCTGGGGCCCTCTGGACCCTGGGATGTCCTCCCGTGCGTGTCCGTCATGCCTACGGGCCGACGTGACAGTAGTAGGCTGTTATGACCTTATGAAATGGGGGTAGAAATAGCCTAAGCTACTCTATCCCTTTGAGATGTATTTCTTGTCTCAAACTTACTCGAACCTCGTGATCCACAGCATCGCTGACCAACCAAAACCTGACCAATTTTCAATTATTATTAACATCTTTATTGACAAAATTAATTACAATTTTGCCTAATCTGAGGATTTTCAATAAGTGTCTCGGGTAAGTTACAAAGGCTGGTTAAAGCTACGCCAGTTTACTGGGACATATAAACAGGTTACCGTAAAACACTGAGAACTAACAATATATACAACTGGTACTTTCATCAGAACAAAGAGCTTCAACACGCAGTTCAACTAGGCACGTCAATGATCTTCAAGAACTTAATCACAGCTATCAAATCAGTAACTGCTAATTAGGACTAGCCGACACCAGGTTCCAACCAGGCGCAGTGGTACATTAACCCAAGTAACAGTTTGGAGGTGTGATACAAACAGTGGGTGAGGAATCTGTCACGTACTGAAACATGTTGTTTAAGATTCGCTACCTGGAACAAAGCTCCAAGTAGCACGGGCCATGGTGAGCCCGTAAATCTTACTACAACCTATGGCGAAAAAGAAAACATGGAGGAGGGGGGGGGGGAAGGAAACCCCACCTCCATTTAAAACTGACCCAAACAAGGGTCAGTGTTACTTAACACAGTAACAAGGTTATCGCGTATAATCGAACTCTTACGGGCTCACCATAGCGCCCGTGCTACATGGACATTTATAATATAAAAACAACGGCTAATACTTAAAATACATTAGCTAGTTCTATGTATTAGATCTATCTTTAAATCCAACATTATGTCTAACTCTTCCATGTGTGTACCTTTACCTGAATAAAAAAATAAAAAAATCTAACCTAGCCGATGTGCCTCTGTAACCCTTTCCACTACCGCCCACGGGATGGGTATGGAGTGCATAATAAATGAACTAAACTAACTAACGACAGCAGGCTCCAACCCGGCGCAGTGGTACACTAACCCAAGTAAGTAACGGGTCCGTCTGATTACCCAAAGCTTCCCAAGCTTACTCAAAGCTACACAAAGCTTCCCAACCTTACTCAAAGCTTCCTAGGTTTACATTAGTAATGAATAAATATGATATATTCATTCATTATAATATTGGTGCCGAATGTAGACCATTTTTTCTCTGAAAAAAGTATTATTCAAAGTATTTTAAAACGAAATTAGATGAAAAGAAGAAGATTGTGACGCCAAAGCAAGTCGACGGTCTCAGCGACAATGTTTGCTGGCATTAGTCTCCTGTACCTACCTAACCTAGCCTAGCCTCTAGTCAACAATATATCTATTTGTCCATCTTGGATAAGTCGCTCCACAATATTGTCGCTTGGATGGACTTCCTATGACCTCACGTGCTACTTAGTTTAGTCTAACACCAACAATATAATAAATATACATTTCTTAATTACTTATGTAAATGCTAGTAAGCTTTGGGTAGTTAGACGGACCGCAAGTAACAGTATGAGAGGTGTGATAGATAAGTAATGGGTGACCAATCTATCAGGTACTGAAACAATAATAAAAGCTACGATCCTCAGTTACCCAGAATCACTCACCACCTGACCTACTGATATATCTGTTAGCCTGATCCATCTAATATTTTCCTGTGATTTTTGGGTCCAAGTTTAAAATGGAGGATGTTGTAGATGATCCATCTACAACATCCTCCATTTTAAACTTAGACCCAAATATCACAGGAAAATACAAGGTTATCATGTATAACCAAACTCAATTACGGGCTCACCATAGCCCGTGCTACATGGACACTTCGTCCTGAGTAGCTAAATCTTTAACAACAACATCTACAACACCTCCACAGATCTCTAGTATCAGCTAATGATACTGGTAATGGCTCAAAAGGGCCACCACAGACGGGCGGCTTAATCTTCATCAATCAATCAATCTACAACAGCATTACTCTTTATAATATATACCTTACTAATAAACAATATATAATACAACCCAAGGACTAGACATATCACGTCTGTCTCTCTGGACCAACAGGGCAGTAATGACGAGCCACCGCCCATCACGCCCAAGGAGGACTTTGTTGCCAACAGGTCAATTAAGTCACTCCAACCTTCCTCCTTCGCATAACTGAAGCTCAAAACAAATATTGACATCTAGTTCAAATTATACCTAATTAGATATATACATAATACAATACAATATATATATACAAAACTTCAAGGTACATAAGAATATATAACAATATGGGCTAAACATTTAAGGGAGTCATTTGTAAGTACATCTGGCAATACTAGCTGCATGAGACGTTTTACCAGGGGGGGGGGGCGATGGGAGAAGTTCCAACAATTACCGGGGGATCGATCGTTTACCACTTAAATTACCGTATATTCACATACCTCAACTATATAGTTGTATGAACGAACATAAGCTATGCGGTCTAGTTGGACCGCAAACGCGCGCAAAGTAAATAGACGCACGCAAGCACGCACACACACTCAGGTATGCCACCAGAATAGTCCCAGAGCCGAGGGATATGAGCTACGAGGAAATACTATATGGGAAGGGAAGGCAATTTGCAGGGGAAAGCGCCAAGCCATTACGACTATATAATACTCGGAAGAGCTCAGGATAAGGATTTATCGAGGTCCAAGAGCTAATAGCTCGATTCTGCAGACACAAATAGTAAATACACACCCATAATGGCATAATCATAATGACAAACAAAGGATTATTGTTGTAATATATTTTGTACCAACATATGGACCTATATTGCCAGTAATGGTAATATATCTTTAATATTATTTAATGTGAACATATTTGTGTTCTGTCTGTCCATCATGTTCACTATAAACAGAAAGTAAAGCTTAATGGTCCAGCTGTGGTGTTGCTGGTCAGAAGTGGAGAGCTTAAGCTGGATGAGGAATGGTCTCAGCGCAGGAAACTTGAGTTACTGTAAGCAGAGTTCAGTTGACTGGGAAACAAAAGCAACAACTGGAAAGTTTCAGTCACAGGTGGGAGCTGTGATGCATTAGGCATAGTTCAAGAGTGAAAATGTTCATACCGGAGTTGTCTCGTGTGAGCCAACACGCCTTCTCAAGGCGCCTTCGTTACTATTTTCTTAACTCAGTTGACATTATTGGAAATGACTCATATGCAAACTTGATTAGCAAGTGTACCATCATAATGAGTGAATTAATGACCTTCATATGCAAGATAAAACAAACAAAACATACAAAATAAAATGTTTATTCACACGATTCAAAAATATATATTTATATGTACAAAATAAATAATTCAATAACATTTTATATACAGTGATTATCACAGGGTGGAGCAGGCCATTGTTGACGAGTAGATGAGCATCACTCTCGGGGCTCGTCAGGTGGTCGTAGTTCGAGGAGCACTTGAGAGCTGAAGGTCAGGCGGCAACGGGGATGCTGCCAGCAACCAACCCAAGACCTTCCTTCATCTGGCTCAAGAGTCAGCAAACAGGATTGCAGAGATTACGGTGATATTGCAGGTCAACGATGCGTCAGTCAGAGATTGGTCCATCTAATAAGACGTCCTGTAGCCTGGCGCTGAGCTGGTGCCGTGGTCGCTGTAGAGAATAGTACTGTAGTCGCTGGGATTGTTGACGAAACCACTCTCGTAGCTGGCCGAACTGTCCATGTTGCTGCAGCCTGAAGAACTGAAGCCGTTGTTAAATCCTGAAGCTGAAGCACCGTCGCTACAACCAGAGGCGCCGCTGTAGTCCATCGAGTAGTCGTTGTTGGGCTGCTGCTGCTGCTGCTGCTGCATGCTGAAGTTGAGGGGTTGTGATGACCTGTTGTAAGCGTCGCTGAAGTTCATGTGCTCCCCTGGACTCTCCGGAAGACTGTCGGAATCAGAGTCGGACTGAAGGGTGTCCTGGAGGTCGCTGATGTAGTCGATGACGTGCTGAATCAGCTCCAGCTTGTCCACGTTGCGGTTCTTGGGGCAGTGTGGTACCAGGTCCTTCAGCTTGTCAAGGTAGAGGCGCATCTCGGCGGAGTTATCAGGTGCCGCGGAGTTCTTGGCGGCAAGAGCTGTGGCCATGGCGGCGGCCATACGCTCCTGGTAAACAGTGTTCATTGTCCGTATTGTTAAGACGAACAGAGAACACAAGGCAGGGTGAGCTGGGAGAGCAGGAACTGGCTTCTGTGCAAAGCAGATGATGTGTGATGCAAACTAGCGGGGCTTCGGCCTTTTTAAACGGGCCCGCGCGTGGTCGGTCACGCCCACTGATGACGTAATGTGTCAGGATTGGTTGAGACCAAAAGTCCCGAAGGGAACAACCCACAAGCCATGGACGGTCGACTCTACGTTAACAATTGATTCATTGATTTTTATCGGTGTTAAACAAAGATAAGAAAGTGTTATTTGCCCGAAACACTGTGCGTATTAGTGGATTTAGGCCTAGTATATACCAGCTCCATCTAGATATCCAACATTCTAAAAAAAATTCTGCTTGTAGCTCATTTTGTTAGAATGTACTTTTTCCTAAATTAACTTTTATTATTATTATTATCATTAAATATGAAGTAACACGAGGACTGAGAAAACACCGGCTCTTCTCTGACTTTTCTTAATGTAAAAAAAGGCAATCCTAATGATCTTTAAGCAATCATATATAAAATTTTTAAAATGTTCGTTTCATACATTTATTGTTGCCGCTCATGTAACCCAACCCAACTAGTTTAGTCAGCTCCCTCTCCTCAGTCATGAACCCTCTCCTCAGTCATGAACCCTCTCCTCAGTCATGAACCCTCTCCTCAGTCATAAACCCTCTCCTCAGTCATGAACCATCTCCTCAGTCATGAACCCTCTCCTCAGTCATGAACCCTCTCCTCAGTCATGAACCATCTCCTCAGTCATGAACCCTCTCCTCAGTCATGAACCATCTCCTCAGTCATGAACCATCTAATCAGTCATGAACCATCTCCTCAGTCATGAACCCTCTCCTCAGTCATGAACCCTCTCCTCAGTCATGAACCCTCTCCTCAGTCATGAACCATCTCCTCAGTCATGAACCATCTCCTCAGTCATGAACCATCTCCTCAGTCATGAACCATCTCCTCAGTCATGAACCCTCTCCTCAGTCATGAACCCTCTCCTCAGTCATGAACCCTCTCCTCAGTCATGAACCATCTCCTCAGTCATGAACCCTCTCCTCAGTCATGAACCATCTCCTCAGTCATGAACCCTCTCCTCAGTCATGAACCATCTCCTCAGTCATGAACCCTCTCCTCAGTCATGAACCATCTCCTCAGTCATGAACCATCTCCTCAGTCATGAACCATCTCCTCAGTCATGAACCCTCTCCTCAGTCATGAACCATCTCCTCAGTCATGAACCCTCTCCTCAGTCATGAACCCTCTCCTCAGTCATGAACCCTCTCCTCAGTCATGAACCATCTCCTCAGTCATGAACCATCTCCTCAGGCATGAACCATCTCCTCAGTCATGAACCATCTCCTCAGTCATGAACCATCTCAGTCATGAACCATTTCCTCCAGCACACAATTTAAGGAATAATAACTGTAGCCAATTTAACCCATTTTATATACATCTGGCTCATAGTTAAGTAGATGTCAATAAACTTGAACAGAAGTACGTATCCAATTGACAGTCATTTAGTTTACGCGGCCAACAAGAGCGGCCGGAGCTAAAGCCTTTAAGGTCTCCGGGGAAATGTCCGGCGCGACAGTCAATGGCGTTCAATTAACGCGCCCAAACCCGCCTGGACCTCTCACCGTCTGAATTACATTTCACCTTTGTGAATGCACATTAATGATACTATGTAAGACACATCAAACACTTTATGTAGGACATACGTAAATCTGTGTATCTATGTATTTACGTATGTAGGTTAGCTTAGCATTTTAAAAGCACCGAATCACCTTCTGTGGTTGAATGTTCAATAAACCCTTGAACTATATGTTTAACACTTCTCTAACCCTGTCCATGGAAGACAGAAGAAAATGTATATATGCTGATCAGCATTGTAAATGTGTGGCCACGTCTGTGGTAGAAAATAATAATAATAAAAAAAAAAACGTCTGATCGTCACTGGCCACTAGTAAATATTGACTTACACCCATACATGTTTCTTTAGGAAACATCATACAATGTGTGCAAGACACTGATAATAGAGCAGTTAAAGTCTCCTGACATACGTCATACAGTGCCCTCTTATACATCATACGCTGAATGTTATTGGGGAAAGGAATTTCTCACCTCTGACGGCACGTGGGTCTTATCTGGCGGCACGTGGGTCTTATCTGGCGGGAATTTCAAGTGGAGCTCGTTAGGGGCTGGGCATCCCTGTCCTGCGGGCCGGGGAGGGCGGGGGGGGGGGGGGCAGCCCGCGGGCGGTGAGCAGCCCAAGGGGCACCAGATAGAATGAGGGCTCCAGGCAGCCTGAGAGCCCCAGATAGAATGAGGGCTCCAGGCAGCCTGAGGGCCCCAGATAGAATGAGGGCTCCAGGCAGCCTGAGGGACCCAGATAGAATGAGGGCTCCAGGCAGCCTGAGGGCCCCAGATAGAATGAGGGCTCCAGGCAGCCTGAGGGCCCCAGATAGAATGAGGGCTCCAGGCAGCAGCTTAAACAACATGGAAGCAAACAACAGAACATTCCTGATCATCTCAGTATCCTTAAGACAAATGTAGAGAAGATTAGAAAGGATTAAGGCAGCCAAAGATGACGTGATCTCGTTGGCGAGGGCTGTGAGCCGCTCTTAGTCTGGTAAGCCTCGCTCTCTGCAATAAATAACTCGACAATGAAACTCTTGCTATGAATCATTTACCAATATGCCACAACTACACTCATAATTACCAACACCATCTTGTTCTTCATGTAAATATTACGCTAACAACCGCACTCCGCTAATTAAGACAAATTAAGCTGTAGCCGTTATTCTCCGTTCTTGCCCAAGAACAAATAAACAACAATAACTCACGGTACTAACGCATGAACAAATAGGCAACAATAACACGGTACTAACGCATGAACAAATAGGCAACAATAACACGGTACTAACGCATGAACAAATAAGCAACAATGAGCCACAATGACTCATTACTTGAGCACACGTTGGGTGACCTCAGGTGACCTGGGTAATGAGGGTCAGGGGCGGGGGCGAGGAACACTTGTGGAGGTCAACAGTGATCGTGATGGCGACAGTCAGACGACGTGTCTGTGATGACGACCACTCCGCCACGCCCGCCCCGCCGTGCCCCATGATGCATGCTTGTATGTTCTGGCCCCATGCCTGTATGTTCTGGCCCCATGCCTGTATGTTCTGGCCCCATGCCTGTATGTTCTGGCCCCATGCCTGCATGTTCTGGCCCAATGCCTGCATGTTCTGGCCCCATGCCTGCATGTTCTGGCCCCATGCCTGTATGTTCTGGCCCCATGCCTGTATGTTCTGGCCCCATGCCTGTATGTTCTGGCCCTATGCCTGTATGTTCTGGCCCCATGCCTGTATGTTCTGGCCCTATGCCTGTATGTTCTGGCCCCATGCCTGTATGTTCTGACTCCATGCCTACATGTTCTGGCTCCATGCCTGTATGTTCTGGCTCCATGCCTGTATGTTCTGGCTCCATGCCTGCATGTTCTGGCCCCATGCCTGTATGTTCTGGCCCCATGCCTGTATGTTCTGGCTCCATGCCTGTATGTTCTGGCCCCATGCCTGTATGTTCTGGCCCCATGCCTGCATGTTCTGGCTCCATGCCTGCATGTTCTGGCCCCATGCCTGTATGTTCTGGCCCCATGCCTGTATGTTCTGGCTCCATGCCTGTATGTTCTGGCCCCATGCCTGTATGTTCTGGCTCCATGCCTGTATAGGTTGGCTCCCTGCGACAAAAACGTCATATAAGAATATTTTAAAACCCAACTGTAAATGTATAAAACGAACATTTTAAAATATTATGTTTGATTGCTTAAAGATCATTAGGATTGCCTCCAGCATGATGACACAGGCAAAACAGATAAAACTGCATGTGATAAGCCTGAAATTGAGTTGGATATGGGCAGTCCAATTTCTGCTGTAAAAGCCGCAATATTTCCGGAAATTAGGTAAGACAGAAGAGCAGTCACTGACACACAAATGCCAGAAAGCACGAGTATAAAGAGCTATGACATGTTTAGAATCGAGAATTATATATATGGGTAGCCTTAAACTTCCACTAGACAGTGTGACATTGTAATTGCCAGAATTAGGCTGGGATATCGATATCTATGACAGGTGGCTGCAGGTAATGAATCCCCCAATGGTGAACATTCCAATTGTATACTATGTGAACAAGAGCTGGGACATACTCTCCAACACTATATCTGTGATTGCCCTGTTATAAGTGACTTCAGATCTAATGGTATGAGGTACTTTGAGCTCTGTAATTTCTTCATTCACTCAGGAATATTGGAAGATATTCTTGAGCTGTGCCCAGATTATGCTACTGTGGGCTAATAGATCAGCCTTACATTTTATGTTCTTACCTGATTTTTAGTGATAGTTGATTTGTTTTTTAATTGAGGCTGGTGATTTCTTCCCTGATTCCAAGCATGAATAACCATCCCTGTGAGATAGGAATAATAGGTGAACCAATAGCCAGTTCTTGATCTACGCTCTGTAATGTCTCATATAGAGTAGGGTAGCAGCACATTGCTGTGTATACCTAATTTTCCTAATAACAAAAGAAAATATACATTAAGAAAAATCAGAGAAGTGCCGGTGTTTTCTCAGTTCTCGTGTTACTTTGTTGTAATCCACAAGTTAGTAGGAATTATTAGCTAGAGGATCATTACTACAACACTTAACGAATGACGATTGGAAGTACATGTTATGTAGAAGTACATGTTTAATAATAATAATAATAATAATAATAATAATAATAATAATAATAATAATAATAATAATAAAAGTTAATTTAGGAAAAAGTACATTCTAACAAAATGAGCTACAAGCAGATTTTTTTAGAATGTTGGATATCTAGATAGAGCTAGTATATACTAGGCCTAAAGCCACTAATACGCACAGTGTTTCGGGCAAATAACACTTTCTTATCTTTGTTTAACACCGATAAAAATCAAAGAATCAGTTGTTAACGTAGAGTCGACCGTCCATGGCTTCTGGGTCCCTTCGGGACCTTTGGTCTCAACCAATCCTGACACAACACGTCATCAGTGGGC